CTTTCTCTCTCTGTAAGGGTCCCCTCAGCCCTGCCACTCCGCTGGGGTGCTCTGTACGCGAACGATCCCTGTCCCCACCGTCCCTCATTCCCACCTTGGGCCGATGAAGACCTGGGCTGCCTATTCTTCCCAGACGCTGGCACGGGGACAGGGTGGCACGGGGACAGGGCAGGAAGGGAAGGGAAGGGCACAGCGGTAGGAAATGCCTCCCTGAGCAGCTGTGTGACCCTGGGCAAGTCTCTTGACCTCTCTGAGCTTCAGCCTCCTCCATCACAAAGCAGGACGCACGCGGCTGGCCTTGCGGATCCCCCGCAAGTGACGATGGTGTCCGGCCCACAGCGGCAGCTCTGAGCGGCTGGTCTGTCTCGGGCTCCCTCACCAGTGCTCGCTGGTTGGCCATTCACAGGAAATGAGGGGCGTTCGGCCGGGTAACTGCCTTTCCGGGAACGACACTCCCGTCGTTAGACAGGTGGGTCCTTCCTCTTTAACAGGATAATATCCTTCGTGATGTTCAGAACCAGCGGGGAATGTGGGCGTTCTCTTGAGCCACTGTCCAAGTCCCACCCTGCTTCCCCCGAAGAGAAAGCCCGCAGGACGGGTGGGGGTGAAGGTCCAGCGGGCTCAAAAGCCACACGACCAGGGCCCGTAGTCAAGGCGCACACGGTGGCCCAGGGGTCACTGCCCACCGTGGCTTTCAGGGTGGCGTCTCAGGTGTGGCTGGGGGACCAGGGTGTGGCCGCGGCCTCCCCGCTGCTCACAGGCCCAGGACGGGACACGGGGCCACTCACCGGACGCCTTCGTTGAGGCTGAAAAGCTCCTGGTCGGGCAGCCCCTTGCGCTGGAAGACGGCAATGACCCCGTTGTGGATGCTGCAGGTGGAAGAAAGAGGTGTCGTCGGGGCCCCGAGACCCCCTCCCCGCCTTCCCAGGCCTCCCTTCTGCCTTGCCTCCTCCCAGCAGCCCACCCTGCTCTGCTCCCGGGACAGCAAAGGGCCCGGTCAGAAGCAGGTGCTGGCTTTTACAAGGCTGTCCTCCTGGGACCCTGTCCACACCACAGCCTCCGTTCCCATCTCACTCCTGGGGTCGAGCCCTAGCCCCCGCCTCCCCAGAGCCCTGGGCCTGAGTCACCAAGGCACCTCCCAGTCACCTCCCCAGGATGTCTCGTGTAGCCTGCCCACACTCTGCTCCCCTTCCTGTGTTCTCGAACCCTCTATTCCCGGGCACACCCTTTGATCACCAGTCCCACCCTCGGATGCGTCCGAGCCTGGCGCTCACTGTGGGTTTCCCGGTGCCCCCTCCCGGCTCCTGGCATCCCCGAGCACTGGACGCTCACGTTATCTGTCCCGCTGGGGATGGGGAAGCTGCCTCCGGCCCCAGGGCCTTTGTACACGCCCTTTCTGCTGGCTGCTTCTCCCCCACTTCACATTTACCTCCTTTAGATCACGTGTTGTTGCCAGTTTTCACGGCACTTGTCCGTGTGTAACCACACGTTTATGTGTGATTTGATCAACTTGTTGCCACCATCATCTACAAAGCCCTAGAGCCCAGGGTCCTGCGTTGTTCGTGACTCGCCTCTATATACCCAGCACCCGGCTCGAAGGAGAAGCTGGTAAACATCAGGTGAAAATTTATCCTTGACTATCCCTCGTCCTCCAAAGCCAATCTATCCTGAAGTCTGATCCCTTTCTGTCGCCTGGATCTCCGCAGCACCCCTCCCCTCCCTTCAAGCCAGGGCCCCTCCCTGCGTGCCTGGACCTATTACACTGGCCCTGCCTCCCTACTGCCTCAAGTCAGGGAGTCACCTCCCTGACCGGGGTCTTGTGAGGCCTCCACTGTCCTCAAGATACAGCCCAAGGCCTGGACATGGCATTCAAGGCTCGTCAGGAATGCCCCCTCCCTGCATTCCGGGGCATCCGACACTCAAGTCTCAGAGTTCTGGACCTGCCCGAGGCTGCCACACCTCCGGGTCTCTGCACCCACTGCCCTTTCTCCTGGAAGGCCCTTCGCCCCCCTGCCTATGAGGCAAGCAACCATTCATATTAAAGACCCAGCTCAGAAGCCACTGCCTCCAAGAAGCCCTCCCGCCTTTCCCATGAAGACTCCCGTTCTGCAACCTTCCTGATTCACTTTCCTGTTAGCACTGCCCCCCCCCGCCCCCTCCACGGGAACCGGGTGTGGGTGGCTCCACCCCCCTCCACCTAGGACCCAGTCACTGTCGTAAAGCTCACAGACCTGCTGCTATGGTTCTCAGGCCGAGAGGACGGCTGGACCCACGCTGCCACTCCCATCACGGATCGGGCAGCAGCCACGAAGCTCCCGATGCCTGTCTGTCTTCGTTAGCTCTACCTGTCCTGGGAATGTGGACTGGCCCCCCACATCCCAGATGGGGAGACAGAGGCTCACAGAGGCCAAGTCCCCTGCGGGCGGGCACAGAGCTCCCCACCCGATAGATGCTCCCTCTCTCCATGCAGCCTCCCCACAAAGAGCCAGGTCTGGGCAGGGCTGGGGCGCGAAGGGGCCGCGCCCACCAGGAGTTACCAGCTTCTCAGCAAGTGCTCGCAGAGACGGGGAGGGACACCAGTCACAGGACCTGGGATGCCCAACTACCCCAGGCCTGGCGTCGGAATGCCACGTACTCGTGTGTCTGAGACACGTGTCCTCCAACTTCTGTTTCCCGTCTCTGAAAGGGGGTCACGAGTGTGCCTGCCCCCCACCCCCTGGGCTGCCGTGAGGAAGAAATGCCTGGCCAGAGCCTCAGGGCGTGGGTGGGGCCCGGACCGTGCTGCTCGCCTCTGTTAGAAGTCCCCGCTGGCCCCGGCCCTGCCACTGTGTCACCGTAAGGCTGCTCCCCATCTACAACCCAAAGAGATAAAAGCCCGCCAGGAAGCCAGTGGTCCTCCAGCAGCCACGCTGAAGTCCCTACAGCTGCAAGTTCACTTCTGGCCCTGTGGGGGCTGCACGGGGAGCCTTGGCCAGCGAGGACCTGTCAGCGAGGGCGTTTATCACCTCCCTTGACTCTCCCAAGGCCTGTATCTGAGCAGCACCCCGCCCAGCCCAGGGGTCGCCCTCGAGCTCTCCCACCCCACCCCCATCCCGCGAACCCGGGCCACCTGGGCCCCCGGCTTTCCCCATCCACACAGTGGATTCCCAACTGCGACCTGACCTGCCCGTGGGATTCTTCAGCAGTGACTCCGGGGAGGGGCGTGTCCCCCGGACCGGGGAGGGGCGTGTCCCCCGGACCCACCACCGCTCAGCATCTGCTCTGTGGTTTCTCTCCATCTCTGCCTTCTATAACCACCGCACGGGGTGAGCCGTCACACCCAGGCTACGGAAGGAAACACCGAGGCTCCAACATGCAGCGCGGCACTGGGTGGCTGGGAAACCGCCTCCCGCCCGGCCCCTGCCCACATGGGGACGCACACAGGCAGCGCCCTGCTCCCTCCAGCTGTGGCCTGAGATCCCATCCAAGTCGGGCAAACCAAAAGTCTTGCTGTGAGCCACTCGGGGAGGGGAAGGGTGGGGGGGGGGGGCGAGAGGGCCTCACGTGACTTACCGTCTCCCCAAAAATAGAAGTGAAACCCCAGCCACCCCGGTCTGGGGCCTCCGGACCAGGGGTGGGCCGGCCCAGCCTCGGGCCCTGGCAAACGGTCCCAAGGAAACCACAGGTGGCCTCCGAGGGCACTTTCGGGGGAGGCCTGAGTGGAGCTGACCCATGGCCTCCCCTCAGCCGAGCAGTCCCTCACGGAGCGTGTCCCCCTCCCCAGTGCACGAGGGCAGGAGGGCAGGGCCAAGTCCCGGCATCTCTTGCCTGGGCACTGGGTGTGTACGGGGTGAAGGGGAGAAGGCGCGAGACCCCCCGGTGAGGCTTCGGGGCGTCCTGGGCAGTGCCGAGACCTGCTGTCACCAGGGCTGGCCTGGACCACAGGGCCCAGGAAGAGGGCGGGGCACAGCCAAGCCGGGAGAGGAAAGGCTGGCTGTAGGGCTCCCGGGGGGCACTTGCCCGGGGCCACCCTGGCTTGGGCTGGCACCCGTGTGGGGCTGCAGGCCGAAGGGGCTCCGGTGGCTGGTTCTCTGGCCCGCCATCACCTTTCTTAGTGCGGCCCACCTGCCCATACGGGAAGCCCCAGCAGAGAGTGAGTGGATCTGGACCCACCTAAAGCCAGGCTTCTGGTCGGTCAGGCCGATGCACCTCCCTGGTGCCCTGGAGGCCGAGCCCTGTCCTTCTCCGGCGCCTACCCTGATTTGGACACCGGAGACCTCAGAGGACACAGAGAGGAGGGCACGTGCCCCCAGAAGGCCACCCCAGACCCTGAGCGGGGTGGCCACCTCCTTGGGCCCCTCCCAATGGTGTCAGGCCTGGTGCATCTCACGGGCTCCGTGGGAAGGGATGGTCGAGTAAGTGATGAAGGGCAGGTGAGCTGGGCTCCACTGGGTCCCCATGGGGCCCCCAGGCTCCTCCTGCCACCCCCCCGACAGCTGGGCTCTGGTCCTCCCTCTGCCCCGTCCCTCCAAGGGCAACCAGATGGAGCCCCAATGTCCTCGTCAGTACCCCGGAGTCACGCCCAGCCCGGCCTCCTGGCTGTTCTAGCCGCTCTAGGCGCAGTGCCCACGGCCTCCTCCGCACGTCCAGGTGAAAGGCAAAGGAGGCAGGTGACTTGGAATCCAACCCTGCCCCCAGGCCAGGCCCTGAGCGGACCCTCTGGAAAATGGGGGTGATGGTGCCCCTTCCAGCCCTGTGCCAGCTTCCTCTGCCCCTCAGCAAACAGGCGTCGCTCACATCCCAGTTTCAGTCCACCCGGCTGATTCACATGCTGCTCCCCCCCCCCCCAACCCCTAACAGGGTTCCTGGCTGAGCAGGAGGGACCCAAGGCCACCTCTGCTCTTCCCTGGGCACCCGGCAAGGGCCCTGACCCACTGGTCCTGACCACAGAGGGGACAGTGGAGTGCCCACGTCCTCGAACACCTGCCTGGACTTCACACCGCCCTTCGCAGTGGCGAGGCGGGTGCGGGATGCCGTGCTGGGGAGGGCTGCAGCCGGCCCGAGCCCGGGCTGGTGGGTGGGAGAAGTGACGACCCAGAGCACGTGGCCGGGTCGGGGGGGGGGGGGGGGGGAATGAGCGTCACGCATGCCACAAACACAGTGGCTCACAACAACCCAAATGTGTGCTCTTAGGTTTTCGAAGGCCAGAAGTCCTAAATCAGTTTCACGGGGCTGAAATCAAGGTGTTGGCGTGACTGGCTCCGGGGAGAGTCTGTCTCCGGGCCCTGCCCAGTTTCTAGAGGCGCCCACGCTCCTCGGCCCGGCCTCCTTTCTCCGTCCTCACAGCCGGCCGCGTGGCGCCTTCGGTCTCTCTGATTCCACCCCGCCACCTCCTTCCCTGACGCCGCCCCCCGTGCCTCCCTCTTGCGAAGACCCTCGAGACGACACCGGACCCCCATCTCGAGATCCTTAACTCGGTCACACCTGCGAAGTTCCTTCCGTAAGCTACCACATGCACAGGTTCTGGGGGGCCAGGGTGTTGACATGTTTGGGGGGGCCATTGCTTTGCTGACCATACCCAGGCTGCCTTGGGGCGGGCGGGAGGCTCAGGACCCAGAGCGAACAGGCAGGGGCTGGGTAGGGGAGCCAAGCACAGGCCCCCAGCAGCCTCCGGCCCCCACTCCCAACCAACTGATCACCCTGGAGCCTTCAGCCAGCCTCCCGTGGCCCCTCAGAGACCCCCTGAGGTGTCGGCAGAAACGCAGACTTCGGAGTCGGCCCCAGGTTGGATCCCCGCTTCTGCCCCGACACGCTGTCACCCACCTTTCTTGGTCCCTGGGCAGTGACCTCAAGCCACCCCTGGGGCAGGCCCCCCCCGCCCCCGCCAAGCCCCCCCCGGGATCTTGAGCAAGTACCCCCCCTGCCTCAGTTTCCCTATCTGTAAGCCGAAGACAATTATCCCAGCCTTGGAGGGAGATGATGGGGAGTATCACACGCAGGCAGTGTGCCTGGCACCACAGGGGCACACGCTCTGCCCTGCTTGCGGCCTCCCCTCCCACACTGAGCAGGTGGGGTGGGCACTGGGCGCTCTAGACCTCAAGCATTCGGGAAGATCCAGGCCTGGCAAGGAATAGCGAACTCCCTGACGGATTACACCCTTTGGCCCAAATGCATGCACAGGGGACCTGTGCTGGGGAGGCCTTTAGGGCCAAGGTTTGGGGAGCTCCCTCTCGCCCCTCGGCTGGCCCCTCAGCTCAAGGGCATGACCTTCCTGGAGCTAGAGACCCCACGCCTGCATGGGGTCCAGAGGCAGTGAGGAGCTAACTGGGGCTGGCCAGGGGAACGCGTGGACAGAGCGGGACACGGCCTGCCATGTCCCGGCCCTCGAGGAAGCGGGGGGGGGGGGGGGGGGGGGACCCCCGGGGGGGGCGGCAGGTAAGCCCTCCGAGGCCCCCACCCTGACCGTGCTGTACACATGCACCTGCCTGCAGCCCCGCACTCGGCTTGGCTCGAAGGACAAACCCGCCCGTAAAGAAGCAGGTGCTCAGAAAACACCTTGGATGGTTCCAGGCTGGCCACTGCCCACCCCTCACTCAAACCTCCCCTGCACTGCTATGGCATCGACGTTCCAGACGCAAGAATGAAATGCGGCCGGCCAGCTGCGCGGTCAGCACGTACCGTCCCCCCGATTATCTCCCCGGCACTAAACACGACCTGCGGCGACCTCAGTCCTTTACTTGCGTCCCTGTTTCCTTCCTAACTCCCTCCACCTCGTCCAAGCTCAGGACGCTGCTGTTTCTCTGCTGACTCTACGCCCCCCGAGCAGCTCAGGGCCAGGGAGCGAGCGAACGAACGAATGGATGGTTAAATGAACGCGTGGATTCCGCTCTCACGAGAGCAAGCTGTGTATTTTCGCCCCGTGTCAAGATGAGGAAGGGGCCGCAGGAAATTCAGGGGATGTGCCCAGGGCCCCTGCAGTGGGTTGAACAGCATCCCCTAGAAATCCAAGTCTCCTGGAAACAGGGTCTTTGCAGATTCGTTAAGGATCTTGAGAAACCATCATCCCGGGTTAGGGGTGGCCCTACAACCAGTGACGGGTGTGCTTATACGAGAAAGGAGGGGGAGGATCCGGCCACAGAGACCCAGGAGAGACCACGTGCAGGGGGAGGCAGACGGCCACAAGCCAAGAAACCACCGGGAGCTGGAAGAGGCACGATACTCCCCTAGAGTCTCTGGAGGGGGCATGGTCCTAACGCCGCCTTCCTTTTGGACTTCTGCCTCTGGGACCCCGGGAGACCACGTCTCTGTTGATCTCAGCCACCCAGCTGCCGGCAATGTGTTTCAGCAGCCCTGTGAGACTAGCACGGTCGCACAGATAAAAGGGGGCGCACCCTGGGCTCCAAATGAAGAATCCACAGCTCAGCGAGGCAGGCCCCGGAGACTGACAGAGCTGTCTTGCGTGAGGCCGTGGTCCCGAGGGCTCTGCAGGGAGCAGCCAGGGGCGGGCAGGCAGGCAGAGACCAGAGAGGACCCCCGCCCTCCACCGCTCCTGCTCAGGGACCCGGCAGAGGAAGGTGCTTTCGCCTGCCCTTGGCTCAGTCTCCCCTCTGCCTGGGGAGGAGAGAGCAGGGGCTCCGGTTCTGCCATGTCCTACATGGGTGACCGTGACATGGACAGGTCGGCCGGGTGCTCTGGGTCCCCCTCTGCACCTCTAAAGTGGGGGAGGTGACAGAAGTAACTCCCTCGCTGGGCAAAGTGAGCTAAGGGACACGAAGGGGCCTGGCGCATAGTAGGAGTAGAGGGTGGCAGCAGGAGACCCCAGCTGGGGGAGAGGAGCTCACAAAGCTGCTGGTTGGTGAGTGCTCAGGAACCAGCAGGCTCCTGAGCACCCCCCCCCCCCAACCTCTCCTTACAAACCCACCCCAACATGTGCCTGGGCTTGAGTCATGAATTACAGAGTACCTACTATGTGCTGGGCACTGTGTGGAGAGTTTTAATATGTGTCTTTGCACTTAATCCCTACAACAGCCCTGTGAGGTGGACACCCTTACTAGCCCATTTGATGGATATGGAAATCAAGGACCAGAGAGGTTAAGTGACTTGCTCAAGGCCACACAGCAGGGAAGAGGCAGAGCTGGGAACTGAACTAAGTCTGTCTGGCTCCTCCCTCTAAACCAAAGCAGAGGAATGAGGAGGACAGCTGCATCTCTCTCCCTAACTCTGAGAGAGAAGAAAACAACTCATCACATAGCGAAGTCATTGCGTCAGTGAGATTCCCCAATGAGAGCCCTTCTTTCGCAGTCTCCCCACCAGTCCTGTAAGGAGGAATGCACAGGCACATGCCCGCTGACAGCTAGGGAAACTGAGGCAAACGCAGCTCCAGGCAGTTTGCAACTTGGTAGGGGACAGAAGACAAGCTCGTGGACAATGGTGTCCTACCCAGTGCACAGACAAGGCTCTTAGGCTGGCGGCGCTGTGCCCACTAAGGTGTTCAAGAAGTTCCGGATCAACGGAATGAACGTGCGTCCACACTGAGGGCCGGGGGCCTGGGGGCCAAGACCACAGCCAGCGGGTGCATCTGGCCACACTTCACTGCCCGCATCCACGCCCCCCCTCCCTTCCCCTCCCCTCCCTTTTCCTTTCCGTGGAAACGTCTACTTTGAAAGGGGCTCAGGAGCAGACACGCTGGGGAATCCCACTAAATAAACCATCTCTTTTCCGGATCCCAGCCCTGCTCTTCAAACAAAGCTTGGGGGTGGGGGTACTTCCCACGCCCCTGCTCGTCTGGGAACGGCCACCGGGGAGGGGGAGGGTCGTCTGAGGAATGCCTGGCAGCTGCTGCCTCCCTGCAGACAGCTGGGAGGACCAGGGGCCGCTCGGGGGAAACTGCCCGCCCACCCCCCTCCGACCAAAGGGACCTTTACTCCGGGACAGGAAGCGCGGCGGCCACCCACCCACGGCGCCCTTGAGGCTCATTTGCTCATCCGAGAAATGGGAGAAATACTTCCTGCTCTATTTACCTCTCGGATTGCCATGAGCCACGGAGCGGCAACGTGGGAAGACCCCGGGTGGGAGAGGCAAGCACGCGGGCGCCAGACCCACCCGGTCGCCCACCAGCTGGGCGCTTCGGGACGAGCCCCGAGGTCGCGGTCTGGTCCCTCGGTTCTAGAAACACGTTGCACTAAACTTCCCTCCCGGCCCGCACAACTCCGGCGGAGCAAGTTCTCGGCGAGCTGTTAAGCGCCGCGGTGCTGAAGGCGTCGTTCCTCGCCCGCGGGCCGGATCGAGGGCTCCCTGTCCGCCCGGGGCTCGGGGGCCCCGGGCCCGGCGGGCGGCCCGGGAGGGCGCGGCCTTACCTGTTCCAGGTGGCGTTGGCGCAGGCCCGGCGCTGCTGCGTGCCCCGCTCGTCCGCGGCGGCGGCGGCCGGCTCTCTCTTGCCCAGGTCACTGAGGCTGGGCGAACTCATGAACTTCAACCTGCGGAGAGTCCTCATGGTGACCCCGGCGGCCCGCTCCGCGCCCACGCGCGCCCGGC